CTAAAAATCACACGTGAATGGGGCATACTTTTGTGTTGATTAATGCTGGCGTGTCATCCAAAACATTATGGCATGTCATCTTTGACATATGTGTCATAGCGTTGCCATCGCTGGTTATACTACAGGTAAGAGAAGAAGAAAAAACTTTTTCTACTAATAAATAAAAGTCTAGAATTAATTGTTAGCAATTCTGCAAACTGCAGTATCAGTGTCAGCTAATAAGTGAAAATTATTTAATGTCTCCTGAATCAGTAGTATGCCTTAAATGGATACTTGACTATTGTGTGTCACAATGCTGGATTAGATCTGCCTATAGCCTACCCCAGGAAGACTGCTGTGATTTTATAAGAGCGATAGCATAAAAGTAAGCCCTGGTGTGTTGTTTCTCAGGAGTCTTCTAGGTGTTCACAAAATTTTCTTCCTTGCTTTATAAGTGACTTCTGCTAGCTAGCTATTCTTCTAGAATTGTTAGAACTGAACCTCATCGCAGATGGTCACTAACTTGGCTTCTATAGATACTGGCTTCTATCCTGCTCTCTTGAAATAATTAGCCAGAAAATAAATCAGGAGTCAGGAGTGCAAAAAACGGGATCAGATAGTTATACTTATGAATGTAATAGTGGATTGTGCCTAAAATAGAACAGTCAGCATGGACTGTTTCAACCTGTCTGGAGCTATTTTTAATACTCTAAACCATGTGGTAAAACCACAACCTTTCACATTTTATATCTGGAACAACTAAGGCAACAGCATGGTAGGGAATTTATATATCATTGAACATAATTGAGAGATTAAGGTATTAGAAAAGTAGAGGTTTGTTACTGCTGCAAATTATTAATAATATCAAAATTGTTTATCCCCCTGCTGGTCTAATATTAACTGAGTTAATATTAAATGCTAGAACTGAAAATGTACATACTTAGAACTTGCCAGATTGTTTAAATTATGCCTGAAGAAGCCAGACTGTTTAAATTAAGTTACATATTTGTACTTTTACTATGTATTACTTTTATTTTGATTTCTTCTGTATCTTCCTGGAGTTGAAAAATCAATTATAAAATGTAATGATACCAAGTTCATTTTGTTTGGTTTTATTTATTTTGTAGAACTGGGGCTTGTTTTTTGGGGGGTTACAACTTTTAGTGTCTATATCCCTATATTCAAAAGTTAGATTTTAAGGTCATTGAAAAAAGTTCCTACCATCTTGTACTTTTTAAAGCATCAAGAATATTGTTGCTACTATATGACCTGAGAAATATGGTTTTTGTAACATCTTTTTTGGTGTGGCATTTTGATGTGTATAGATGTAAGCAGTTTTGGAAACTTTTCATACTCAATCCTAAATAGAATTAATTTTTCAAATTTACTATGTAACCAAAACTGATTTATTTGTAACATCACTTTCTCTCAATTGAACATGTAATTGAGCATAATTAACATTTATGTTCTCAGGTTGACTAAATAATTAACTTAAATTGTCAGCATTCCAAATAATTTATAATATTGGGGCAATACAGATATTATGATAAGTGTACATTTCCTGCTAATTTCCAGTTTTGATCAGGAGAAACTGAACAAGCTTGGGAATGACATCTATAACCCTATGGTTTGTATAGTTTTCCATCTGCGCATCCATACAACTTTACCAAAACACGTGTGACCACTCAACCCATTACAGCCTAACCAACACAAGCTATAAATAGAATATCACTGCCATACATCAGAAACATCTCAGACGTAATCAACAGACTACTGCAACCACACAGTATCACCATAGTACACAAATCAACTAAAACCGTCCAAAACATCTTAAATAAACTAAAAGATCCAGTAACTCAAGAAGAAAAAAACCAGGAGTCATCTGTAACATACTGTAACAGCCACTAGGTAGGTTGAGCAGACATAAGACTAGCAGAGGGCATCGATGAACATCAACTATAGTCAGAAAACATGATAAAAACTACTTAGACACATGGACAGATTCAAACATAATTTCAACTGGGAAACTTTGAACATCCTAGACCAAGCTAAATCTAAAAACAGTAGGAAATTCCTGGATGCTTGGCACTTAGATATGTTAGCCATCAATAGATTATGTGCCATCAAGTTGAAAACCACATTTTTTTCCATGTCGATTAGCCTGATATCATGGTGTCAGGGAAGAACAAGCAAAGGGTGACACACGCATCTTGATGTATGTACATAATCACAGGTCTTAATGATTATCGTCCAGTTGCACTTACAGCCATCATTATGAACTGTTTTGAAAGGCTGAAAAAGGACTTTATTGTATCCAGCCTCCCTCCAGCATTTGACTCACTTCAGTTTGCTTATCGTCCAAATTGTTCCACAGAGGATGCTATTTCATCTGTTCTCCATCTGAGCTTGGCACACTTAGAAGAAAGAAATACTCATGTACAATTGCTGTTTGTCGACTTTAGTTTGGTATTTAATACAATCACTCCTCAGCATTCAGTAGATAAACTGGGCCTTTTAGGCTTCAGTACTCCTTTGTGCAATTGGATTCTTGATTTTCTCATTGATAGGCGAGTTGGAACTAATATTTCTAACACCATGTTTTTGAGCACAAGTTCTCTTCAGGGCTTTATCTTAAGTCCACTGTTGTTCACCCTGCTGATCCATGTGCAAGTTTTGTTACCAACCATATTGTGAAGTATGCAGATGATACAACAGTCTTCAGCCTTATACAGGATGATAATGAGGGTGATTACCAGGAGGAGGTAGAAGGATTGATGAACTGATGTAATAAAAACAGCCTGGTTTAAATGTAGGAAAAACAAAAGAGATCATTATCAATTTCAGAAAAGGCAGGCACAGCCATACATCTCTGTGTATTAACGATTCAACTGTGGTTAGTAGTGTCAAGTTTCTGTGTGTGCAGCTGACGAGCAGGTTAGCTTGGTGCCTCACCAGGGAGACACTGGTGAAGTGGGCACAGTAGCACCTGCATTTTCTGCGTTCTTTGAGAAGAGCACATCTTCATTCCCCTATCCTTACCACTTTCTATACAGGGACGGTTGAAAGCATCCTGTCATATTGTATTACTGTATGGTTTGGAAGTATTACTGTTTTGGACAAGAAGGCTATGCAGAGAGTGGTGAGGATGGCATAAAAGATTATTGGAAGTTCACTTCCTTCTATCCAAGGCATGGCATATAAGCGATGCCTGGCCAGGGTCTGCAGTATTGTCAGGGATGCTACATATCTTCTCCATGACCGGTTTCCTTTGTTACCTTCTGGGAGGAGGCTTCGCAGTATTTGAAGTAGAACAACGAGATTCTGTAATAGCTTTGTACCACATTGTTAATTCTCAAGACTCTTTTTTATATATAGCATATGTATGTGCACGTAACAATAGAGATTATCTTATAATCATGTGTGATTATGGTATATGTATATTATCATTTTGGTGTCATTATAGTTTGTGGCATATACTTCCACCTTGGCGTGTAAATTGTTTTTAATTTACCCCAGTACTAATGAAAGAAATATATAATGTTCAAAGCAATTGTTTAAAACCTTACCTTGTGTGACAAGTGCTGCATTCAGATTCAGACTGAATTTTGAACATTCTGGGTTTTTTTTATCTGCAGATTTCTGTGGCTATGAACTAATATGATTAGCCTTATTGGCACTAAAATCTAATGCCCCCACCGATAGCTTGGAAGGATTGAACACTCACAAAAGGGAATGTTACGGTGGACAGTTCATTTAGAAGGTGGGCCTCGAAGAGTAAACCACGCTGCTGTGGCTGTTGGACATAAAGTCTATTCTTTTGGTGGATACTGTTCTGGTGAAGATTATGAGACTCTACGACAGATTGATGTTCATGTATTTAATGCAGGTAAGTTGATGAATGTTCAGGTTTAGAGAAACAGGACTTAATTATCTTTTATTTTTTTTAAAAATCAAATACATATGTTTATATTTATTGAACATTAATTAATATTAGTTTAATATGTCAGCCATCAAACAGATGACACTACTGAAAATTGAAAAATATTCAATTATGGGAAAGAGGCAAAGGAATTTCTCGTATTAAAAGTTACATTATTCCTTTTTAGTAAAATTATATATTTGACAGAATTTTTCATCGGTTTCAACAAAGCATATGTAAAACAATACCATGTTTTGGAGAAAAATGGAGATGCCAGGTTATTAGTATATTGCAGGAGATCATTTACTGATTTTTAATATTATCAATTTACTTGTTGTTTACTTGTCAATTATGAACTGTGTAATACATCAGCTTTTATTTCAAGAAAGTCAAACCTTTCCTTATTATTTGTTTAGTAAGAAATCTTAGATAACTTTATAAGAGAATCCTATAGAGTTTCCCATTATTAATATAATCCTGAGAGTGCCAGTACTCTGCATATACCTTCTAGTTTATTTATTTATTTATGAAATGTATTTGCTGCCATCTCATATGCAGCAACTCCGGGTGGCTTAGATCATAAAGACATTAAAATACATTAAAATACATAAAAATCAACAATCATAGAGCACAGTGGATAAAACCATTAACAGATAAAATAGTTGGTAGAATCCTAGCAACAGTACATTAGTACTGATAAAATAGTCCAAGATTAGTTTCTACAGAATAGTCAGTTTGTCTATGGTACAACTGCTGCCTAAAATGTGTGAAAACTGACTGATATCACGGAAAATGCTACATATAGTGTGGGTACAATTATACTATAATTATAATGTGATATATACGATAAATATATATAAATATAATTATATAAATATATAATTATAGTATAATTATATAGTACAATTATAGTAAATTTTTACTATCTGATGAATCTGGTTTCACTGGAATAAGAGGGAGACAATTTAACGAGTACAAATGGGCTAGTCCTTCCAGAAAACTGGCAATCAAATGGTCTCCTTTAATTCAAATAACATATATAAGAATAGAGGGAGATCTATTTGATGATTTAAAGGCGCTGATATGGAAGCCTAGTTGGCAAAAGAAGAAAGCTAGAATAAGGTTGAAAAAAATGGGACTTTGATTCATTAAAGGGGATTTTATATTGCCAATTAGTGGGCTAAAGGGAGATGTTGAGACAAGGGGAATTTTGGTTATTAGATTTAAAATATTTGGAATTCAGTCAAAAATAAGGATTTTATTGGTTCAATATTTAAAAAGTAGATCTAAAAGGGAAAATAAAATTAAATACTACGAATATGTTTGATTTATTGATTAATCCAGGCAATATATATAATGGTTTTTTGATTTATTAAAGGGGATATTATGTTATTAAGTAGATGATTTAATATGGTGGGAAATAGATAACTCTTAGGAAATAGAACAAGATTATATTTAAATAGGTAAAATGTGTATTTTGGATATTATAGTTTGTTATGTAGTGAAATAAGGGAAAGTCTGAAAATTATAAATATCAAAGGTTAAATTGGAATATTGACAAGAAATTAAAAATTGACTAAAAATCAATAACAGGATACGGATTGTTGATGAAGATTGAATGTAATTAAGATATGTATAAGCTAAAAATTCATTGATAAATGGAATAATGATGTCCTTATTGAATTGATATAATTAGAAATGTACCAACCTGAACATGAGATAGTAATTGTTAAGGGAAAAAGAGAAGAAATATTTGATGTTGTAGCCTGAGATTTGTACTAAGATTTTGTTATTGAGCTATTGATTAACCCAGTCACCACGTTGCTTTTTAAATATTCAAATGTAAAATTGCAAAATTAATAAAATATCATAAATTAAAAAAAAGAATAGTCAGTTTGTCTATGGTACAACTGCTGCCTAAAATGTGTGAAAACTGACTGGTACCACAGAAAATGCTACATATAGTGTGGGTACAACTAAGGATGGTAATTTAATCTACCCTAATTCTAACCCTAAATTGAAATGATGGAGCGTGCTGTTTTGTATTGCTCCCTCTACATAGATGGTCACCAGGAATTTTTATCAACCTTTTCCACTAGGCAGTCTGGTCATTCTGACTTGTGCTATTATAGTACAATTATACTATAATTATAATTATAGTATGTGATATATACTATAAATATATATAAATAAAATTATATAAATATAGTATAATTATATAGTACAATTATAGTAAGTTGTTACTATCAGATGAATCTGGTTTCACATCATGGATTACAGCTCAGTACTGCTCTAAACTTTGTACAGTACTGTACATTGTAATATCTCCTCCAATTTTTCTTATATACTTTAGAATGTTACATGTTTCTCTTTTTTATCTTAATTAATTGTGATTTTTGTTTTTGATCGATCGATTGATTTAATTTTCTGACCTTTTTTCTGATAGTTTCTCTGCGCTGGACCAAATTACCACCAGTGTGGACAAACAGCAGGGACCATGTGAGAGAGGTTCCTTACATGAGATATGGGCATTCTGCGGTGCTGATTGATGACACTATCTATATCTGGGGAGGCCGTAATGATACTGAGGGAGCCTGCAATGTATTATATGCCTTTGATGTCAGTAAGTGGTGTTATCCTGCTTCCATAACTTTCACTATCACATGCTTATAAAGATGAATGGGCAGGGAGTGCAAACCTTTTGTAGCCATTTATCTCTTATTGATATGATATTGATGGAGTAATGATGGCACATAGCAGTGGCAGCTATCAAATTGAGTAAGCCAAGTGTGCTAGCTATAAATGAAGAGTTATTGTTAATAATTACTACATCTATTATGCTTTTAAACTTTAAAATATTTATATTTTTACATGTAAACACTCCTAAATTATATGCCCAAGTTATGTCAATGTATTGCCTGATAATAATAAATATTATATTTACTATTTCTAAATTAAGCATTTAGGGAATATTAATGTAGTTCCTTTCCATTCTATTTCATTTCTGTTCTTACTGTAAAATCAGCTTCATTAATATATTGGAGCAAGTAATGAACATTATTCTTGTCATTACTGAAATTCTTCTAAGTTATAATCAGCTTCATTGATAGTGAGGCTAATAGTAATAATGATGATGATTATAAACTAGTGAGATTGAAACTATTTATGCTTGAACTCATTTGAAACCAGTGTTCTCTGTGTTTCTCTGTTGACTGCATAGTCTCTTTAGCTTGACACAGTAGAATTCTATGCCTCCAAAATGTTAAATGCCTCTTTGTGGAAGCTCTAACGAGCAGATCTTTCTGTGAAAACAGCCTCAAGTACACTAGATACAAATGGAGCAGTATGAGCTGTGGAGGAAATGCACATGATGCAGTAACTAATGCATTCTTTGTATATATCAAGGTGTGACTCCTCTAGTATCAGGAAGAGGATAAACAAAATGAGCAAATAAAATATGTAAATATACAGTAGTGCTTAAAAGTTGGTGAACCCTTTTGAATTTTCAATATCTCTGTATAAATGACTTAAAATATGTTCTGTTCTGTTATCTTTATCTAATCTTACAGCTAGATAAAGATAACCTAATTAAACAAATGAGTCAAAACATTATACTTGTTCATTTATTTATTGTGGAAAATGATCCAAAGATCTCCTTGCTTAAAGGGTTTATTAGAGACAGTTATGTAAGTTCTTCATTAAATAACCAGGGCTGTTTTAGAACCAGGGCTGCTCTAAATATGACAGACTTTGGCCTGCTAGGACAATAGAGTTCTCACCACAGAGATTATGAAGAAATTTCTGAAGACTTCTATAAATTATGATGCAAATAATATGACAAAATTACAAATCCATTTCTAAAGTTCTGCAATGCCATTGGTTCAGAAAACAGAAAACATTAGGGACAGTTATGAATGCATTTATCCAAGAGTGCTTTCCGATCAAAGTTACTCCTTGATTAGAGTTAGCAGACACAATTCCATTATCAAAAAAGCACTGGGTCAAAATGGGATTCATAAGAGAACAGGAAGGTAAAAGCCATAGCCTTTATGTTCACCTCAAGTTTGCAAAAAAGCATTTAAATTATTCTTCAGATTTCTATAAAAATGTTATGTGCATAGATGAATCAAAAGTGGAACTTTTGGGGGCACATAGGTATTGTTTTGTCTGATAGAACCCAAACACTGAATTCCTAATAAAAACATATACCAATGGGTAATCATGTAATGGTTTGGGATATTTGGCTGTCTCAGGAGATAGTCAATTTTTCATTATTGGCAGGAGCACAAATGATGTTTTATATAAGAAAATTCTATAGGAAAACATTTAGTCATCACTTAGATGAATCTGGAATTCAAATGGGTCATGCAACAAGACAGTGATCCCAAACATACAAGTAAGTACAGAACAGAACAGATAAAGATAAATAAGATGAATATTTTGGAATGGTGAGGTCAAATTCCAGATTTAATTTACAGAACTATTATCACGGGATCTGAAATGAACAGTTCATGCTGAAAATTCAAATATTACTGAGTTAAAGAAGTTTGTCACAGAGGAATGGGACAAAATTCCTACATAGTGAAGTGGGAGCCTAATAATCAAGTGTAAGGAACATTTGATTGCAGTTTTTGCCGCTAAAAGTGGTGCAGTAAGTTACTGAATCTAAGCGAGGGCATTTTTTTTCAAAGTCACAGATTGGATAACTTTATGAAATAAATAAAACAAGCATCAAACTTTGGGGCTATTTTTTTCACTTGGACTACTCTTGTACCAATAAGACTTAAATGAAGCTCTGTTAACATAAAAGTTCAGAAAAATCCAAAGTATAGCAAATACTCTCCCAAAGAAGTAAGGTTGAACAATTTATCTGAGCAAATTGTCTTAAGAAACAAACAAGAAAATGTGTACTAAGTTGATCTTGGTAGTTGGGTACATTGTCTAATATGGAAGAGGGAAACATGGAGAAATAAATATAAGTAGAACTCAGTTAGAAAACTGGGAAGAAACTTCAGTTTTCTCTATGCAAGAGTGGATGATAAAGGTGATGGAATTAGTGTTGGTGCCAAAATTGTTTTAAAGAAAAGAATATGTCTAGTTTTGTTTCTGCTTGGAAATCACTTCTGGACTTTCTGCTTAAAACTAAAAAAGACTCTTTGATTTTACATTTTGATAATTAGAATGATTTTTTATTTTTTATTTATTATTTATTTTTATTTATTATTTTTTTATGCCACTCATTTCCCCTACAACAGTGGTGGCGAACCTATGGCACGGGTGCCAGAGGCGGCACTCAGAGCCCTTTCTGTGGGCATGCGTGCCGTCGCCCCAGTCCTAAGCCTTCAGTTGGATTTTATAAAACCTTTTCGCTTTAGGCCTCCGCCGCCATGTGCAAAAAAAAAAAAGGTTCAATCAATCAGTCAATTTCAACTTCTTGCAGGAAAAAAAAATCTTGCAAAGTTGGAATTGATTTATTGAACTTTTTAGTCCCACCCAGTCTGCCATTATCACCGCAGCCACGCCCACCCAATAGACACGCCCAGCCAATGGGCCACACCCAGCCAATGGGCCACACCCACCCAGCACCCGATGATGCATAAGTGGTTTTGGGTTGCAGTTTGGGCACTCGGTCTCTAAAAGGTTTGCCATCACTGCCCTACAAGGTGACTCTGGGAGGCTTTATAATTTTATAATGTTAGCAATGGCCTGAAATGCTGTGAAATATAAAGCAAAAGACTGAGCTTGTTTGTTTGTTTGTTTTTTTGCATTCTATTGCACTAAAGAAAGTCAGAAGTCAACCCTTTTTCCCCCTCTTTTTTGCATTTTTCTCATTTTTCTAACTTTTAATTTCTTTGATATTTTTATTTTATAAGGAAACTTAATAAACAATATATTAAAAAGAAAAGAATTCAGTTAGAACATTTGTGGGTAGCTCTTTTGTAAATGACTGTGGTGTTGAATTTGCTGTAACGGGCTCCCATAGCAAATTTAATAAATAATAGTAATACTGAGAGTGCTAATATTTCTCTTCTACGTTTTTTGTAAACAGCAGAAATAGTTCCACTATATATTACATTAGACCTGAGATAATGTTCGCAAGGAATATTGCAAAGCAACATAGCAACTGTCACAGTTCAAAATCCTAGGCAGCCTTGTACCATTTCCTATCATCCCTGGAAAGCAAATGTTCTAAGCCTACTCTTCTTGAGAGAAAAGGAAAAAAAAATTCCTATATGAGTCATTTCAGGCTAGACAAAGCCCTGAGCCTATTATGCAGGGCACTGTCCTTTGCTGGCTTACAAATGCTATCTAGATTAGATGTCACAGCTCTAATTTCATCTGTTGCACTTGGTAAAGGTCCTTAGGGATAATACTCAACTGAAGTTAGAAATCTAAATATGGTAGTCCTCAACTTACAACAATTGGGTTCAGAATTTCTGTTACTAAGCAAGGCGATGGTTAAGGGAATTGTTCCCAATTTTATTATTTTTTTGACACAGTTGTTAAGTGAATCATTGCAGTGGTTAAATCAGTCATGCAATCATTAATCAAAACTGGCTTTCCTCATTGACTTTGCATGTCAGAAAATGGCGGCAGATGATAATCACATGACTCCGAGATGCTGCAATCATTGTGAATACATGCAACCAAATTTTGATCAGGATGCTGGGTTTATTGTAAATGCCAGGACCAGTTGTCTATGGAGATTCTCAGTCATCCAGGTCGTAGTTATCCCAAAGATGCTTTTTCACAGGCAACTGGACTTTCTTGTTTTTTCTTTGAAGATATTTTGCTTCTCATCCAAGAAACTTCTTCAGCTCTGACTGGATAGTGGGGGAATGAAAGAATTTATACTCCTTGCAGGCAGCTGCTCATATGCATAGAGAGAGAGTCATTGATGCCACCTGGAGGTTTATCTTGTGTTGTCAGGGTCACCCGAGTAGTGCAAATGGGTGTGGAGCCTTCTTGGAACTGTTGAAAGGATTGTGTTGAAGACTGAAGATAGATGATGTCGTACCCCTCCCCCTCTGTTGAGAGAGGGCTGTTCAATTTTGACATAGATAGCCGCTTTGACCCCTCTTTCAAACCATTGATCCTCTCTGTCCAAAATGTGGACTTTGTTGTCTTCGAATTAATTTAATTTTACAAAATTTATATGCCGCCCTTCTCCCCATGGGACTCAGGGCGGCTCACAGCATATTAAAACATCGTACAAAAAAATTTTCCCCTGCTAAAAACCAATTAAAACCCAAATATTGGTAGCTGTGGCTCTTTAAAATCGTTTAAAAATTGTCCCTATTTAAAACTCACCCTAGGTCAGGCCCGCTTGTTGAAAAAG